ATATTTTGGTTCCTGACATTTCGAAAATAGCAAAAATGGTATCTTTCGTGACAAAATCCAAAAGTTTTATTAAATAAAGCTACCAAAATATAATTTGTTATCTTTCTTTGGGCGTCGCAGTCAAACCACAGTCTATGCAATACGACGGTGTATTAAGTAGCTCGAGTAAATCTTCCAAACAGGGCTTAGGAGTTTTATTGCGCAATGTATAGGCCAGTTGGATGTCCGGCTAAATGACACTTTGGCTAATAGCTTCTTAAAGCTTATCATTTTTTATATTCTCAGTTATATAATACTATTATGTTTATGATTAAAAATAAATAGAATCATAAATTATGCGAGGTTTTGTAAATAATAAAAATGCTTTTGTTTGTTTAAGTATTACTTTCTAATTAATGCTCAAAAGTTATTAAAATAAAATTATTATTACAGCATAATTTGATAGAAATAGCTTAAATAAATATTTGTATTATTTTGTATTCAACCCTTTATGAAGTCTCGCACAGGCCTCGTTTCAATACGAAGAGGAACACGCTGACCAAATGCGGGTTGGCGAATTTCACATGCCTTTGGAAAAACTCGCTCTTACACTCAAAAGGTTCTCTCAGACATTGCAGGTTTCCTCACGACGTTTTCCTTTACCGTAAGACAAGTGATAATCGTATTGGATGATTTGCACATGAAAATATCGGAGGCGCAAGACCCAGGATTTAAACCTACTTCACTCGGTTTCCCAATTTCCAAAGATTCCACTGGGTTACCACTACTTTAATATTGCAATATTTAAAAATAAGAATATTTAGTTATATAATAAAAGAAAAGTATAGTAACGACTGTGTCTTATTTTACACTTAAGCCATTTATTTTCTGTAAGTCCTTGCTCGTTTCTACGAAGACGATAGACTCTATTACTTAGCGCGTAATAAATTACTTAATTACGGCATGTCATAATCCATGGTTAACTAACATAAATGCGCGGCTCTACCCGCCGCAGTTTGTTTAGATTAAAATGTAATACCTACATTATTAACATAGGCAATATATCTCCTTTGAAATATGTTTGTTTATTATAAAATAAACAATAGTACATTACTACTATATTTTCTACTTAAAACCAGTCTGTTGCACTATTTTAACTTACTTGTATTTCTTTATTTTTATCGAAACCCATAGTTCGATATATTTTATATTAGAGCGCCTAATAAAATTTAAGAGCAATTATCAAATCTATTTAAGCGCCTGGTATTTTTCTATAGCCAATTTATATGACACAGTGATGCTAAAAAGTTTTGTATAGGAATTGGTTTCCAACTCTACGCTTTGTTAATAGACTAGAATACTTGTGTATGATCTGTACTAAGTTCATATCTTGTCAAATCTTCAAGCTAGGTGTACTAGGTAATATACAAGACAATAAGATTATAATAAGTAAATTTGCTATGTATTAAAACCTCACATAGTCGTAGCTTGTCCGAGGTGCTTTCTTTAAAGTTATTTCTCATATAAACTTTTTCCTACCCCTCAGGAGATAATAAAAAAAATCTTTATTTTACATATTAGCTGTACTTAGATATGTTAGTGAACATAGAAAATCATTTTCAAGTTTACTTTTTTTTAAAGGAGAAAAATGAAACATACGTACGTATATGTTCGACAGATATTTTGCTATTGATATACATAAAGCAAATAGACACATATTTTCGTCATAAAACTCTTAAAAAGCCTTTTAACACAAAGTGTGTATAAATAGTGCAATGCAATGAAGTATGCCAAGTTTCAAAAAGTTTAACTTCGTCACTTGCTAGCAAAATTGTTCGTATTTCGACTGCAGACGTGCCCAGTACTAATAAATATAATTTCAATATAAAATTATTTATATCATAATGTAAAATTATCATAGCACCCATCGATACCATAATAACATGTGTCAATAGCTACAGAAGCAACGTCGGAAGAGGCGACTGGAACCCAAATCACTTGTCAAACTGCAAGTGTAATCGCAGTCGATATCTACAGACGTCTTTGTCGTAGAATCGCCAGTGAACGGCCGTCTTTATCATGTTTCGGATTTTGGCTAAGTTTGAATTGAGACGTCTCACTTTGAGATTCAAATTTAGTGTATTTAAGCCCTAAATCTATAAACGACTCGTTTTTGCCGGTACTTTCACTCGCATGATACCTAAGAGGGGTGAGGATAGAGGTGTGTCAAATGTCTGTACAAACTGAAAAAATATACAAACAAACAATAATACCTATTCTAAAGCAACAGTAAGTTGCAAAAAGGAGTTTCATGGTACCATAATAATATATTTTTTCACTGTTGACATATAGGTAACAATATTATGGACCTAGCAAGTACCTAATTTGAACAAAATGGTCAATATGCACTAATAAAATGTAGGCTATTTTACTTTAATCTAAAAATTAACATAAAGAAAAATAGCTTTAGAATATTTTCTAATTTACGACATTATTTGCCTTTATATTTGAAATCCATATTTCTTTACACCATTAGTCCTAGTCATTGGAATGGCGAAAATTTCTTAAAAGACATAACGCAGACATCTTCTTGACTGCACTGTCAGCTGGGTGGCTGTCTCACAGGGAGTTGGCTGGCTTAACGTATAAAGAAGCGCCAGAGAGAGCTAGCGGGGGAATGCCGTATTTATGCCTTATATAATATATATTATGTAATGCCTATGTTTAATATATTATATGCATACGTAAAAGTACCCAAAAGTTCTCTTATAACTGTCACAATTGTGTTTAGATAATTATTCTAGTTGAAATAAATATACAATAATGTAAATTGAACCTTAAATGCACGCACAACTTAAAGTTGTTTTCACAACATTTTTTGTCTCTGATTGTGTATCTACTATCTAGTACTTTTTTGATCGATGATTATACCTATAATATATATCATGTATAATATCAGTTTAATTATTTTTCTTCTTTCTAAGGATAATAGGATTTCTTTAGATATGTATGTAAAATAATATTATTATCAATAATTTAATGCGTCCATTAACTGTGTAGCATTATTTTAGCATCTTTTTATAGCAAATCACACGTACCGTATATCCGTATTCCTTTTAAATTTACGTACCCTAAAAATTTTGAGTAGACTATAGTTCTTAAAAAACTTTGGGCACCTTAGGAATTAAGCATTATTCTAATACATCTTATGTTAGATGACTTACTATTGAACTTATTGAGTAATTTTTATCGACGTAATATATAAAATATAAACACTTGCCATATTAATTGGATTTGTATAAGATTTTATACTATGCTAGCGACTCACCCTCGCTTCGTACGTTTTAATGGTTAGTATGGAATAGATAGACGATCGCTTGCTCTGTGAAAAATAAAAACAAAACTATCCCATGGGAACCGTAATTGTTTCCTAAAAAGGAAAATAACCTAAGTGCTATTCCAGACTTTAATCTATCTCTATGCTTAATTTCATTCAGATCCGTTCAGCCGTTCTAGCGTGATCGAGTAACAAACATCCATCCATCTAAACTTTCGCATTTATAATATTTAAAAAATAATGAGATTCTCTAAATTGTGTTGTTATGTATTTAGTTTTGAGAGGTCAATATTGCAATAAAAGACATATTCAATATCGTAGTTACTATATTCATTAAATTTTCGTTTATATAATTGAATGGAATAAACACTTAGCCAATTATTCTCGAATAACTAAGCAGTAAATGCCTAATTTTCTTGTGAGCCTAGTGACGTAATTAAGATAAAACCTTATTTAACATTAATAAAATATTTACATTATTTGGAAATATCATCACAGCTTCACAAAACAAGCATAACATTGATATAACAAAACAATTTGAAAGCGGTTACCACTAGTGATGTGTTTAAAAACTATAAAACAATATCGATAAGAAACCGTATGGAAAAACAGCCTCGATGTATAAATGCGTAAATACTGTAACAGTTTTAACTTTAGATAAAAAGCAACTGGTAATACTAAGCGATACTACAAGAATATTAACAACAGCAGTACACAGGTACTTCTAAGGTTTAAAAATCAATTGTTTTGTATTAGTTTTTTTGTAGGTACTTCAAAATTCGTCCAGCGATTTTCGAAAAATATATAACCGATGTTGCCTGTTTTAAAAAATATGGCATAGTATCGAAAATAATATCTATAAAATAAATAAATATTTTTATTGTTTTAATTTTATGTACTTTTATTTTAATTCTTGCATTGCTTAGTAAAACAAGTTATCGTACAATACTATTGTTATATTGGTAATATCCTATTTTTAATTTATATATCAATCTTTGGATTGAGTATTACCTACCTAACAAATGTGAAGGAATGTGCGTAATATTAATATATTTTAATATCATTTATTAATCAAACATCTACATACGTTCATAGATACATTCAATATGAAATTTGAGCCCCTAAGGGCGACATAGAAATATTATTTTCTTATATAGACGTACCATGTGCAATTTATTGTTTAAATATAACATAATGACTGATCAATTAATTTCAATTTAGCGTTATCTTTGCTAATATTTATACAGCTTATAATATAAAAAGCAAATGGAAACTTTGGTATCCCCATTCATTTATTGTTTGCTAACATTTACAGCACATTTTTAAAACTATCGTAATAGTTAATAAATAGAACTTATAAATATCTAATGTACAAAACATGAGTACTAAAAGTACATTTGAGATTCATCTACATTAATGGGAAACGGGAGACTATTCGAAGCTATAGATATATGTAGAATCTAGTTCTTACATAATTTTATAATACATATTATGTGAAAAGTATGCTATGATAATATTACTTTTATAGCCTTTTAAAGTACGTCACCACATTAACACTAACATGGCACTTTTATACCATAACGATTCATATTCAGTCTTTCGTATTAAAATTTGCTTCCAAAACACAAACTAATCACGAATGATAATACAGGTTGAGAATCTCGTTTCCAAAATGATTAGTTCAAACCAATTTTCTTTCAGCAATAGCGTGATGACCAGGATGAACGTAATGTCCTGGAGACGTCGGTTCATATAATGACATTTTTAATCTCTTGCACTTTGCCCGGCGATTTTTAAACCAAAATTGCACATTTTTTGACTCAAGCCGTGGGAATTTTTGTCTATATGGCATTCTGTTCAATTCCTCAGTATATTTTAATATCAAGTTGTGCGAAGGGTGAGTGTTCATAGAAAACCACTGTTCCAAAACTGGCACCTCAGATACAGGGTCTATGAAAGTACGGTTTCTTTTACGACGTTCATCAGAAGCTCCAGCCAATGCTAAGTTTAGACCACTAGCACCTTCACCAGGAACCCCTCCTACTCCAGGAAAACCACTCATATATTGACTCATATACATAATGCCATGGCCAAACATTGGATGATTCGGTACCATGGGAAATGGCAAGCGATCTAAATGAGGGGAAGAAGGTCCGTAATGGCGTTCTTGAACTACTTCCTCATCAGATGCAATATCAGGATCATCACCACCGCCGTTTTCTTCTTCGGTGTTATTATTATTATTGTTATGTGAACTATCACTATTCTTTGTTGGAGATCGTTGTGGTGAAAGCATATGATCTGACTTGCTCAAATCTCTTGGCTCTTGTTTGATATCATGTACCTGTAAATAAAAAAAATAATTAGTTATAGAATTTACATTTACTATAAGAAATATTACACAAAACGTATTTTAAAAGTAAACTCATTGAATAGGTTATGTACCTTAATTATATCTGGTGGCTTCGGTGATTCTTTAGTACTTTCTTCTCTTTCTTCATTATTTTTCTCTCTTTTGGTTATCAAAGATAGTGGGGCATCTGGGCTTTCAGGTCTGTCATCGGCATTAATATCACCGCCATCATCTTCTAAATCTGAACCAGCGTTCGATAAGTTGTCTTCTGACATTACTGACATTGGGTATCTGGGGCTTCCTGATAATTGCATTGGACTTTTCATAGAATTATGATCATGAGAACTGTAATTGTCATTGCCAGCCATTAATGATCCATTAGTTGGGCTATGGCTTCTACTATTAAAACCATTTACTCCAAGATGGCCTCCGAGTCCACCAATATTGCGTAGTTCTGCACGTTTTTGAGCTGCCCTCGCATTCTTAAACCAATAAACAACATTATTAACATCTAATGGTTTTCTTCCTCTTCTGGATTCTAAATTATTTAACTCTCGTACATATTGCTGAATTTGTTGTCTACTTGGATGCTGATTTTCAGAGAACCAGCGCTGTAGTTTTGGTAATTCTAATTCAGGATCAAAACTTGTTCTCATCCTTGTTTTCTGTGTAGGATATTGGCTTTGGACTGTTTGTAAAGCAGGATGAAGGTGATCGGGTAAAGGATTTAAGGTTGGTGAACGATTTTTAGGACTAGGAGATGGATAGCGGCGTGGACTAAACGGCGGAGGGCGCGGTGATACTTGAGCACTCCACCATGATTCAAATTTTCGACGAGTTTCCTCCGACAATTCGTGAAAGTTATGAGGACCAGAAGATCTATCTTGACCGCGACAAATCTGGGCCAACGTCACCTGTAACAACAAATAAAACCTTCAAACTTCACTTAATACGTCTTAAGTAAAAAAGTATATAAATAATACAAAAAGAAACGCTAACAATTTCAGACGGTTTTAAAGAGGTCAGTCTAACCAGTAACAGATAATTGTTTGAATAAACACGCAGCATTGTTTCACAGAACATCGCCATTAGATTATGAAAATATTAGGTCGGCTGTTAATGTATGTGTCATGCACGCGCTGCCGCATCGGTTCTGATGCGAGAACATGTTTACTCGGTGGTTAGTGCGCATCACTTCTTCACCGCCGCCGAAACTTCAATCATGGCTTGCTCTAAAACAATGAGCGGGAAGGGCGTCTTCGCAATTAGCATCCTCCCACAAGCCTTACAAAGCACCGGCGTACCAATATGGACTAAGTGGTTGTACTAAAATCTTTCAAGAGCAACTCCATGAGAAACGGTAACTGTACTTGTCAAACATATTATGTTTGAACATGTTTGAACTAAAAGTTTTGTTTGAGAAATCTATAAGACGGTAAAATAAAAACTGTTGCGCATTATGTAATCTAATTTAAAACCATTTAATATAGAATTCAATAAAGAAAACCTTGTCAGATTAAAACTATCTCGCGGTTAGTTTATATTGCAGTTATGCAAGTGTCTGTTCATATCAAGAGATTACGTAGAACAATGCCAGTGATTATGTCGTCAGCTGTCAGCATTGCCAAATCAAAAACAAGTAAAACTCAGCATTACACATACAGATTGTGCTTATAAATCATGTCAGAGCAGAGGTGTTAGCGCCTAGCTCATGTGATACGTTAATCCGCTTCTTTATTTTGTGTTTTTAAATAGTGCGGTCATATTTGTTCTCAGATATTGTCTGCTTGAGCTACACGTAAGATTTACGAGAGCTGGCGCCTACGCGATAACTCTGTCACGTGTCATCTGGCTCTGTACGTAATTCGGTGTACTATTGCGAACATTACTCGATTTAGACGTAGTTTCTAAGGACAAATTAAAACAATAGACTTAGTGTTATCTGACGTTAATATCATGTTTACATACGCTACTTAATGTTCTTGATGAATAAAATGTTTGTAATACAAAAAAAAACATTTTAAAAGAATGTAGGGGAAAAATTAAGCCCATAAGTAGATTTATGGTTCGAAATGATCCCTCATTGGTGTCTTTATAACCCTTCTCTGAAGTATTGCGAATGTCTTAAAAGTTATTCCGAATTAAAATCGAAGTAGCGCAAGTTGAAGTGCGATAAATTACCATAATATCATAGAAACGAGTTCATCTGCTGTTTAACCTAACTTCGATGTTCGAAGTATTTGATTATCTATCCCCACTGAAGTTGCTTTTGTCCAATTACACAACATTTCTAACTTTAATATCGATATTTTTATTATGTACATATCTGATTAATTAATTTTTAACTATTTTTATGTTTATTAATGAAAACGTAACGTTTAAGTTTTTTATTGATTTTTTTATATCTCGTAGATAAAAATTACCTCTACGCGTGCTGTCAAGGATGATATTGTTAGAGCTAACCCGAAAAGCGGTGAAGAACATTGAGCGCTAACCTCGCGTTTAATAAGATTATAAAGCATTATTTTATGGTATTAATAAGATCAAAAGCGTTCGTACATCTAAAACTCCTTTTAACCCTCTTTCGTTCTGACTCAAGTTAGTAAGACGAGGGCAACTTTATGCGACGCATTTTAGCACACCAGTATGTAATAATAAGAGAAAGCGATTCAAACAGCGTTGCTCGGCGTGAATTGATTTTAAAATTCTAATACTAGGTATATAGGGAAAATGTTCTTCTAGTAATTTTATTTACATAGAATTCGTATTAGAAATTTATTTCATGGAAACTGTTTGGGGATAAAAGGTACCGCGTAAGTGGTAAGGTTATGTGTTAAAAGTCGTAAACACTTACGTAACGGTTAGTCTTAGAAAAAAATTACCAAATGTTCTAACATTATACATAGTACAAATCATATTTCAACAGTACAGGAAAACTAAAATATTTCTTCATTTTCCGCTCCATCTTATAACATGTTTTCGTACTAACCCTTTCCAACAAGGTGGATATTTAGAAAATATAATAAGGCTCTGAAGCGCGGATGAGTCTGAGATTCAATTAAATTTATTATGTATGAAGATCCCGCGTGTGAGGTGGGCGTTCATCGCGTCGACAAATTGCTCTTTCTTGCGATATTGATACATAGGTATACATATTTGTAGTAAATGATATTAAGTGAAATTTCTATATCTATACCGTATTATGACACTAAAGACTAATAACTTTCTATGATTAAAAAGGTTCAAATAATTTTAAATATATCATATTTTTCTTAATATTTGTATAGCTTAATAATCATGAATGTCAATTTACAATTGGCAAATACATATACGTCGTATATATGTATGTATGTTACATTCAAAAAAATATTTAGGACATTTTTTGAAGAACTTAGTTTTAGATATTATAAAGAACTGAAAATATCTTAAAACTATATAAGGTCTTGTTACAATTTATATAAATCAAGCAATTTAATTACTATCAATATTACTCCATTTAAATAGTATTAATGCTAATTAGATACGATTATCAGTTAAACAGAATGTAAATTTCTATTAACATTATGAAATTCATAACGACCCAAGAAATACCCAAACATCAAAACAAATGCTTCCTTAATTCTTCTCTCGTTTGATGATCCTTATTAGCAGGGACTTAGATGTAACCTCGCAAATTATAAGGACCTCCAAAATTGTACGTCTACTTAGTGGGAGTTTGATAATCTGTCTACATCGCGAGTTCTTCAAATCCGACCTGATGAGCGTTTATGTGATGTTTTGAGAAATACTTAAAAGTCGAGATGAAGCTTATAAGATGTTCGACTTAATGGAAATGTACAGACATTTACGCGCTATAAAGAAAGCGTTAAATGTTATATGCATAAGCGTATTAAAAGTTAGACGATTGTATGACACAGTAGTAGTCTATTTGCCTGCTACATCAACGTACGTGGGTTCTTTAACTTATCAGACATAGGAACAGTGTGTATTTTAAACGATTTTGGAATCGCACGTTCGTGGAAATAAATAATTCAAACACATAGTCATTAAGTTGTAAAATCTTCATAAAAATGAAAAATGGTGATAAACATATTTAGATTTATTTAATTTGTATGTGAAAATCACGAAAATGAATCTTATTTAATATATATGGCGTCCAAAATTATCAGAACATCCATTTAATTTTAATTATCGTATAGCCATATCAAATATTTCAATTGGGCGCATATAGCTATTCAGGAGCTTAAATATTGAAAACAATGAGTTCCCAGTAATAAGGGGGTGGAAGGTTAGGGGTTATATTGTTTGGGTCGGGGTTACAATCAGGTATTAAAGAACGTAACATTGCCGGGACAGTGGGAATCTGGCTCAGCTCAGTGTACCGAATATGCTTTGTCGTTACGAATTTTATGTCGGTTTTAACGCTACGTTTCTACTCTATGTCTAAATAAAACTAATTATAATTTATAATAATAGTATTAGATGACACGTTTGGCTCAGTTTGTAGTGATCCTACTTGCTGTGCCAGCGGTCGCGGGTTCGAGTCCCGCTGGGGGCATTTATTTGTGTGATGAGCACGAATGTTTGTACTCCAGTCAGAGATGTTTAAATTTATAATATGTATGTATTTAAAGTTATATGTGTGTAGTTTATCAACCATCTGGTATCCATAACACAAGCCTCGTAGCTTACCATGGCACTAGATGGTGTTGTGTGTTAATGTCCCAACATATTTATTTATTTATTGTGAAAAAATGCTTAGATTAGATAAATACTGTAAATAAATGTATGACTACCTATTTCTTTTAAATACTCGGAAAAAGATTACATATTAATTTGACATTTTAAACTGACTTTCAATAAAGATGGAGGTCCTCAATTCGGTTGGTTTTTTTTTAGAAACGTAGAATAAATTATGTTAATTACCTCATCCAATGGGCAGCCAGTAGACATCAGCAACGGCCTGCTCTGAACCAGCAATAGCCTTAAAAGCTTGTCTTTTATATCTTGCAAGGGAGTGGGCCTTGGTCTTAGTAGTTGAATCCTGAGTGTAGCAACAGTAGTAAGTTCCCCCAATACTTCACCCACTGTCGCCAACGGACCATCTGATATGCGATCGAAGGGTAACGGTTTCCAGTTATTGATAACGACTGATCCTGACAACAAAAACAAAACATTCTAATTAAATACTTTCTTTTGAGATTGTATTGAATATGTTTTATCTGTTGATAATAGCTAACTTTGAAAGTAAAACTATCTTTTTAGGATTTTTCGAGGAACCACGGGAGAGTCACCATGATTGCTGTAAAGCATAAACGCCGGGAATCAAAAATTAAAATAAATCCGCGAAAAAATCTAAAATGTTAGTTTTATATAAAACTAGCAGAAGACGCGGCTTTCGCGCTAAAACTCTAAAATGGTAGGTTTCATACAAACTTTCATCCTCTATTTTACCCTCTTATGGGATGAATTTCGTAAAATTCTAAAACGTGTTTTCATTTAATTGTATTGAAGCGCATTAATACCAAGTTTCAAGTAATTCTGATCATAAATAGTTTTTCGTTTAATAATTTTAACTTTTTCCGTGGGCATTAGATAATCTCCTGCGGTAAAAAATAGCCTAGATCACTCTTCAGACCTTTAACTATCTCCACACAAAAAATCACACCAATCCGTCCGAAAGAAGGACAAACAAAGAAACAAACAAACAAATACAGTTTTACATTTATAATATTAAGTATGGAAGTATGGATCATCTAATGTATTCAGCCCTTCTTAACGTCCCACTGCTGGGCACGGGCCTCCCTTCAATATGAGGGGGATCAGGCCCATCTAATATCAAATTACATCTACCAAAAATCAAACATCTAACAAAATTATACAGGTTATATTACATTTTTTTATTTTTTTATATTTTTAATACATTTCAATTATAACAAAAAATCATAATAATAATGGCAAATATCTCTTAATTATAGTGTCTATAGGTATATTGTAATGTTCAATTAGGTATTAGAATTTAAATAATATTATCATCGTTTTAATATATTTTATTTAACTGTCTATGTGGAAAATTTGCGGAAATATATTAAAAAATAGCAGTTTTCATGAAATAAATGTTACCTTTAGCAGAAGCGGCCAATTCATGAGGATAGCCTAATCTCATCATAGCGGCTGGAACCAGTTCATGGAAAGCGGTGGCGGCTGGGATGATGACATAGCTGTCAGTCTCTACGACCGCGCGTCTCCGCCACGCACCCTCTTCCAAGGAAGCTACAGCCTCCACCACACAATGCACTGGCAGGGTTTTACCTAGAACAAACAATTCAGTTAAAAATACTAGCCAAAAATTGAAGTAAGAGTGTATGTATTTTTAATAATATCCCCCAGTGTGAATTTGGCTTTCGACAGCGCCATCAATTCATAAAATAAGAACAAGTGCCTCTTAACTTGCTAATATAATGAATGATAAAATATCAATCATTTTTATCATTAACATATACTTAAATTTTAGTTTTGTTGTATTTGTATGTTGGATGTTTATAAGTAACATCTCCACACAAGGCTAAGGGGAGAATGACGGATGAAGGAATGACAAGTTTAAAAATTGAAGGAAGAAAGGAAAAATACACAAGTCAGTCAACTTTTTACAAAAAACTTCATATCTACTGTTATACTCTAAATAGCAGCATTACTTATATTGCTATAAACGTGAATTTTCGCCATTTAGTAAAAAAATAACGTTGTGAGAAAACTTCCTTCCAAAGTATCTGCTTGAAAAATCAGAAACTTAATGGTAGACGTCGAAACGTTGTCGTTAAGAAGGCGTCTTAATTATTTAGCAACTTTTCAAGCGAAAAAGCAATGCTTTTGACTTGTCCGTGAGCGCAGCAAAAAACCGAGTGAAATGTTAAAATAATAATTAATCCTTGTACTATGCCGGTGCGGCCGTCTCGAGATCGCTTTGTGCCGATGCTTCCACCGTCTTTGTAACATGCTTCTTTATCGCGATATTAAATAGTTTTTGCCTCGCTGCTCATTTTTACTCAGATGCGTTTAAAAGCTCTAATACAATTTGAGAGCAGCCTTTTCTCAGTTTTTTTTATTTATTACCTCCCTTTCATACTTGAGTAGCTGAAGGAAACAATATTACAAATCTTGCTATCAAAACTTAAGGCAATTAACAAAAACAATATAATCGAAAACACCCTAACGGTTGTTACTAAGAACAATTGATTTACAGTTGCTATTTATACGGAACAATAGGTTTTCCGCGAACCATAGAATTTACATAGCACTATCCGAGGCTTAGTAAGCCGGCGCTTTTGAAAATTATAAATTTGGCAACACAATAATCTCTTACCCAGACACTTGGTGGGGAAAGTTGTAAGCGTTTAAAATATTCTAAAATTCTAGTCCGCGGTAATCGCGTAAAGTAACTTTCAATAGTTTTAGTCGGCGAGTTGTTTAGTCGATGAGATTTTGAGGGTAGTTCCAGGTTAGCACCTATGCTTTAATATTGCCCGTGGATTACTTGAGATTTGGCCAGCAGTCTCTACGCCCGTGGTCAGTTAAACCCGGGCTTTGACGGTCTGGGCTTTATTAATATCTGGTATAGTTGCAAAATAACTAAGTAAGAGTATAACAATTTAAGCTTTACATGGTAACTGTTTCACGTATTTTAATATGATTGATAATGTTTAAAAGAATGATAAATATTAAAAATATTCTTCTGATTAAGAAAAAATTTAATTGATACGTTTGAAGGTGTCAACATTTAACTGTAATGTGAGCTATAAATCCAATATTAATTAAATAGAATTTAACTTGTTTAGCTAATTAACATAAATTATAGCCAGTGAGAACTTGGATAAATTAACTCGCTAATATGTTACATGGATTAGAATATTCTCGAGTCAAAATGAAAAATAAGTTATTTTAACGCAAAGTTTTAAACAACATCACTTCTCAAAGCATATTTCAAATTCATCACTTTTAAATTATAATAAATAGGCCGTAAATATGTACATATTTACTTAATAAAATTTATATTTTTTGTTTTTATCGCGATTATATAATGATATACGAGTAACACACTCTCACACAGTAAACATACAGTAAACTCTGTTAATATTGTACATAATATATGGAATATTTACAATTAAAATACTATATTACTAGCGGCACCCTCGCTACACTCTGGTCCGAGTTGAGATAAACTATCTATCTATACATATAATAAAATCGTAAATAAGCCGAATCTGTACATTAAATATTTTTTTGAAAATCTTATTGAAATAGACATTATTATCTATACAGAGGACGAATGTATAGTTTTTAGAATTTTTGTATGTCTGTCTGTCTGTCTGTTACCGCATCACAGAAAAACCACTGGAGCGATTTTGATGTAATTTGGTATGGTGATAGCTGGTTATCCGGGTTAACATATAGGATACTTTTTACCGCGTGAAAATGTCTCATTTCTGAGAAAAAATACAAAAACTGCAATGTAAGAATATAGTCAATAATAATATATAATATGTAATCCCTAAGAATTTGCTTTTTGATCAACTGAACGCGGGCGGAGCCGCGGGCAATGCTATATATTATATTAATGCTCTGCTCCCTTGGGTAGTAGCATAATGATATGTGATCCTTCCTCAATAAACGGGTTATCTAATGCAAAATGAATTTTTCAAATTGGATTAAAGTTCCTTAGATTAGCGCGTTCAGACAAACAAACAAACACACTCTGCCTCTTTTTAATGTATTTCATTTGTATTTACATTATTTACACGGTATTTATTTAGATACATATGAGAAGTCACTTTATGTCAGCTTGATTTTTACGCCTAAACTACTAAGCCGACTTAAGAGCATGGCAATCCCGAAAAAAGAACCTATTTTAACCATTTTTTCATCTCCTATAGTTGGCGAAAACGTTTTTGATTAGTTATTAAAAATTATATATTGATCAATTAGCAAATAATAAAATAACATATTCAGAAATAATTTCCAATTTAAAAAGCCAATCAATTTATGTATGTTCTAAAATCTCTAACGAACTTGGATCAACTACGTTGTCATTTTTTTCAACACACAATTTTCCTACAAATCAGACTGTACAGTTTTTCCTTATGAAATTTAGTTCGTATAAACAAGATTAGACACCTCTAACTAGAACGCTAATCGCCTGAAGAACTTGTACCGTAAATTGCCAAGCCGAGTACGAGTTCATTAGCTAACATAAAACAGCAATTAGATTGTATGAGAGAAAACGTTAGAAGCTTAGCCGTTTGTGAAGGGAGGAAGCGAGAGGGAGAGCTTAGCCGTTTCTGAGTACTCTTGAAAAGAGTTCAGTTAACAAAGGATTGGATGTCAAGGAGCGTACAAGTAGTGTGAATTTTAACCTTAGACTTACAGAATTAAGTTAGCTAAGTACGCTGACGGGTCGACGGGAGCGCGAGCTTTTAAAATCTTCCTTGATATTTTCTATTAATGTTACTAAACTTACGCTTTTAGACTTAAGAGTGTATCTAATTATATATTGAATAGATAGTGCATATCGTAGTTATCAAACAATGTATCTATAGTTAACTTACAATAAATTGATATTTATCGTTATATTGAAATCTAATAATAGTTTATAAAAATATCATAGTATTAAGGGATTAATCTAACTGTATGAAAAATGGCAAAAAAGATCGTACAGATACTAAAATCGAAATTTTGCATTATTTCATACCAAAAGCAATTAATCATGTTTTTTTTTATTTACTTTTATTGAACTGATTGAGGGTATAATAAACAATTTATAAAAAAATATATAAAGGCGATGATGGCGACTAATAGCTATACCTATAAGCGTTTGTTTGTCCATGATGTTATTAAAATAAACGTCACAACATTATTACGTATTTTTTTGTAAAAATTAGCAAAATATATAATACTTCAATATAATTATAATAATAGCTCTAATTAAAATAATAACATGGCTATACAATTAACAATGACGTAATAAAAAATTGAAAATTTCCTGTAAATCAAGTGCTTCTTGGATTAATAAATAAATCGATTAGAAATCTTATCTTTTAACAAGTAAACTATTGTAGATTATACTGAGTGAGATATATGTACTTACACTGTTTTCTAGGTGTCATTAAAATGTAATTTTATTGATTGTTTGATTATAAAAAGAGTTCGATACTTATTCTTTCTAATATTTTTTTTGTTAGCTGTATAGAGATTTTCATGATTTTTTAATGAAAGGCTATCTACGGCTTTATCAACGGTAGTTAAAATGAAAAAAAAACACCTTAAAAATTAAATAATACTTATAATGTGATTTTGACACTACACTCTGTAGCTGTTTAGTACTTAAATGTGATTATTAATTTCTTTTTATGTAGGTATAGTATCAAACAACTATTGATAAATTTGAAATATCTTCTACGAGTATATATAAATAGGCAAAGACAAAACAATTCAGTACCTTTTTACACGACTGCAAAGAAAGGGTTATGTTTTTCACGCCTATCTTTCCCTCATATTTATTCCCTCATATCTTTTGGAAGATCCAGTGGTTTGGACTACTGGATGGATTTCTTTAATTAAGTTCGTCGCATTAGTCCAAGTTTTCTTAGATAGGTGATATAAAAAAATATGGAGGCTTTAGAGGATTATGAAGGAGATGAGATTTCATTCTTTAAGGTGTTTTTTTTAAATCTTTTTAATCTTCCTTTTCTGCACTTAAAAATACTTAAAAGGCTGTAAATAAATAAATATATTATAAAAATAAAAAAACCCGACTGCATAAAAGCTAACTAAAAACATAAAAACAAGTTCACGAAGGAATATAGTAAAAGGCAGTCGGAGACATACATACGACTATGTACTTACATCTCGCAGCAAGGATGAAACGTGTGTCTCCGACTGCATAATACTATATTCCTTCGTGAACTTGTTTTCATCTTTTTAGTTAGATTTTATGCAGTCGAGTTTTTTATTTTTATAATATATTTCTCCTCTGTTTTTCAAACAATTTTCTTTTTTTATTTAGTATTTTATAACTTATCATTAAAAAAAAATGATTATAATCGACCATTAGGCGAACATTAGTGGATTTATATTATCAAGTATTCGCTATTGATTAGTAATTACTCATATTAAAATAATTTATACGATAAATATTTAAATTGACCATACAATTAGTGACTTATATAATCTATGTTTAGCAATAAGCTAAATATTTAAGAGTTTCTTTAAAAATATGGCATATTACCACAGTAATTACTTTAATAGCATTATAATAG